GGCTGCTCCTGGCATTGCTGAACTCCTTGAGTGATAGATCGTATAACAGTGCGTGTGTTCCTGCTTCTCCTTGCTTGTGGAGGGTCCTCGCTGTAGGATGGTAGGAGGATCCACAAAGGAGGTCGGGGAGGATTGAAGGAGGGAGGAAGAAATTGCCTTGGACATATGCTGCTGCGGGTCGCTGTGGTAAGGGAAATCGATTACGTTGGGAAATTGATTAAGCTGATGGTGATAATCCTAATGATGCTCTTCACAATCAATGGAGTCTGGACAATTTTCAGTTCATACCGGAGTTCAAGATCAATAAGGATGTCTACGTACCTTCCTAGACAAAACCGGTAGCAGCTAGTTCACGGAGAGCAGGGTGTGTAACGAGTTCGGACATGCCCTTGATCCTGCACCGCTAAACCTATTTAGGTTGTCTTGATTCCCGAGATGCTCACAGGTAAAGTAATTGATTTTATCGAACATGTTTGATCTACACAACACTGGTAGCGTCAGTGGCACAAAGAAACCCATCTATTACTACGTGTACTTACGTACGATCCTAGCGTATCTACATGGAATCGATCAACCTCTTCGTAAAAGTCATCTTTCTTTTTCTTTGTATAACTCCCATCCGGATCCTTTCTCTTTATTACTGCTAGTAGCTAACTCCGATGATTTTCTCCAGCTTTTTCTGAGGGATTCTGACATGGCATCACAGCGGATATACCAGCTGATCAGTGGTGCTAGCGGCGCTTCAGCGCAGAAGGCAACATCTGCTGGCCCTGAAACTAGCTATGAGCTGGTTGGTGTTACAGCGTAGGTATAGGCGGGATGGTGAGATGCTTCAACGCATGTGTCTAACTTAAGTCAGGTTTGAAATTTTGTAGGTATATCATGTCCTATGAATTATGATATGTTAATTCTCTATCATGCAAATTAAAACCGATACGATCACGATTGTGCTTTGTCTGCTTTATTTTCTGATGGCTGAGTAGGAATAATACCAATGTTTTAAATAGCGGGCTATGAAAAATAGCGGCGGGCCTCCAAGGCAGCTATAGCGGGCTAAAGCGGGCTATAGTGGGCTATTTGTGAAGACAACCATTTAGCTGCACCCTGCTGAAAAGGCTATAGCGGGCTATAGCGGAGCTATGGCCGGCTATTTAAAACTATCAATAATACGAAGTAGTGCAGACTGTTATTAATTAGGAAATAAGACCCAACATATTAGCATAGCGGGATTCAGAATACACTAGCGTCTTCCTTACCGAGCTTGGGAAGAATAACCAAAGTAATCAGCTTTGAGTTGCGGCTTCAAGTTGCTTCATTCAAGACATTGTAGGTTTGTTTAATTATTTTGTAGTTAACTGTACATAATTCGGTATGCATGGACTGACCTACATGAAAAGAAATTGTGAGCTTCAGAAACTCTATTGATTATTTCTTGTATGGGGAATGATGTACGTTGCTCTGCGTACATGATGACCTGCGGTCAGTATGTGCTAGCGTACTGCAAGATGCATAGTTAAACTTTGACAGGACTGCATGAGCTAGGTTCCATCAGTTCCTCATCCTGACCCTTCCGTGTTACGTAGGTTGGAGTCCTTCTGATGCAATAACAAAACAGATGCAATGGGTCATCTTCAGTTGCAATAGCAAAACACAATTCAAAGGGAACTTTGATAGGTTGCTCTCCCTTCAATAACAAACAGATGCAAAGCACGCAGGCGAGCACACATGGCCGCCAGAGACAAGCCTTACTTTTTGGAGTCCTGCTGCTAGGGTTGATGTCCTATTGCTGGAGAAAGAATAGTATCAACAACATCCTTTTGTCAACAGATAATCTCATATGCATGGTTCATACTCAAGAAAGGTACTCGCTGCTTTTTTAATAGATCTATAGTTTTATCTTTGTAGCTGTTTATAGATGAAACTCATTACATATTACATGCATGACTCAGTTCTATGTATTTTACACAAAGTGTTTTGGACTGCTATTTCTTACACTATGGTAACATTGTCTGTCAGATCTTTCTCTTAGTTAGCTTCTTTCCAAGATAATTGTGTGGTTGATCCCAAGCTTCAAATAGGCAAAAATATCCAAAAAATATATTAAATCCCTCTAAAATTTCAGTAAATCCTGATTTGTTTCCCACATGTAAATGCTCATTATGTATATGTGTAGGATCAAAAATATATTTTATTAGTCTAATAAACATTAATTAGAGGGTACACATCTCAATATATAGTTTTGATGGAACTTAAAAACACTTTTTCTACATTTTTTAGCTGAGCTGAAAGGAGCCATTCAAGGTTTCTGCCCAATATCATCATATATTAATGTGATTGAGTAGTAGACAGTGGAGTTGTCAAGCAAACAAAGTTTTCAATCGCATTATTAATAAAAGGAGAAAGATAATATTTTGTGATGAAAATAATTTTAAGTGTTTTAGAGCAAGCCATGTTACCAAATAAATTAGGGCTAGAGGAGATCCAAATCGCACATATACAGATGAAAAAGTTGATTAATATCATACTATTGTTGAAGCACGTGCACGATTTCATGTTTTAACTTAAATACATTACGTCAAGCGTGTATCACTTGAGTATAAAGATATCTTTCAACATGCACGCACGGAACACTTAAGCTAGACATTGTCGTCGTTGATCCGTGGAGGCTAGGCAGTAGCGCCATCAACTTAACAATAACCTAAAATTAGCTCCGTGAGCAGTAGGTCTTTAATCTGTAATCTTGATACAAACACATCAAGGAGTGTACTACCATCCATTGATGCATGGAGATCCGTTTACAATGGCAACATTGAAACCAACGTTTGTATGCATAGATTGATCTATAATTTCCTTTTGTATTGAGGGTTGATATATAAGTTCACTTTTTTCTGTCAGTGCTTGTGGCAAAATTGAAGATCTTTATGTGTCGACTTCACATGCCTTGTGTTTTGCTGCAGCACATGCATGGCAAGGACACATGGCTCATTGATGCTTAGGGCTCAAATTAGTATGTAGTGATATCATCCTCACATATATTTGTACAAGTAGTTGATACAAGCCTCAAATCGACCAAATTAGTATGTAGTGATGTCATCCTTATATATTTTCTACAAGTAGTTGATACAAGCCTAAAATCACTAATTCCCAATAAATCTTCTCTCCTTCCAGTCCCTATAATCACTTCCTTCAAATTTCTATAGTATGTGATGACTTTAACACTGAAAAAACATAAACACGGCAAAAATAATTATAATTATTTAGTTGAGCACATATCGGATATACAAAGAAGCAAGGTTATTGAAAGCAAAACAAAAATAAACAACAAAGAGTTAGAAGAAATTATTTGAATCATATTTTGTTATTTAGAATTGAATTAATAAAAAACGAAAAAATGGAGACACCCTTCATGTGCTTGAGTTTGACTTGGATGGATGGGTGTTTCACTTTTTTCCTTTCATGAAAGACATTAACTATGCCAAAATAAATGCATAAAACTTATTGACTAGCCCGTGCGAATGCAGCTAATTTTTTTTTAAATAATACATTTTTTTTATTAATTTTCATAAATATTACGCCGGATAAAAAAATTCAAAAATAATACACCGCCGGCCCGCTGGGCCTAGTCGGCCCACAGCAGGCCGATTGGATTCCAGTCGGCCCACTGTGGGCTGATTGCTGGAGCTAATTGGCATAAAAATATATGTTTAAAAAAATGTTAATCATGTAATTAAAAAATGTTAAACGTGTATAAAAAATGTTCCTGATGTATACAAAAAATGTACAATATATATGCAAAAACGTTGACATAAAAAATATGTTTTGAAAAGTGTTAAGCATGTATTTAAAAATTGTTAAATGTGTGTATAAAAATGTTCCTTAATTATACAAAAAATATAGAATGTGTATGAAAAAAAGTTGATACCAAAAAATTATGTTTGAAAAGTTGACATTTTTTCAAATACATGATTAAAAATTGTTAAATGTGTGTATAAAAACTGTTCCTTATCTATAAAAAAATTATAGAATGTGTATGAAAAAAAGTTGACGCCAAAAAAATATGTTTGAAAAAACTGTTCCAGTTCCATACAAAAAGAGCAACCAATCATATTTTTTTCACAACCTTGATTTATTTTTTGTCACCAACTCACCAACATAATATTTTGGTGTCAACTTTTTTTCATACACATTCTATATTTTTTGTATAAACAGGAACATTTTTTATACATATATTTAACAATTTTTAAATACATGATTAACACTTTTTAAAACATACTTTTTATGTCAACATTTTTGCATATATATTGTACATGTTTTTATACATCAGGAATATTTTTTTATACACGCTTAACATTTTTTAATTACATAATTAACATTTTTTAAAACATATATTTTTTATGCCTATTTTTTTGCAAAAACAATTAGCCCACAGCGGGCCAATTAGCTCCAGTCAGCCCACAGTGGGCCGACGGGACCCAATCAGCCCACAGTGGGCCGACAGGGGCCAGTCGGCCAGCTGTAGGCCGACTGGAATCCAATCGGCCTGCTGTGGGCCGACTAGGCCCAGTCGACCTGCAGCGGGCCGATGGTGTATTATTTTTGAAAAAAATTTACCCAGCATAATATTTATGAAAATTAATTAAAAAATGTATTATTTGAAAAAAATTAGCGCGAATGCACGGGTTCACGACTAGTCCTAACATAATCGAAATGACATATCCGCCGTGTGGTTGCCTATATCTCCTCTGTTTTTTTTTCGTTCGTTTGAACCTTCCTTCTGTATAAAATAATCACAACGGTTTGGCGATGAGCAAAATATGCAGAAGTGATCAGATATTCAGGCATTCAGCTACTTGCATCAGGCTCACACGTTCGAAAAGAAAAAGAAAAATGTTTCTCCGAACATAATTAGATGTGCTCTGTGTCATCTGTATGTATGATAATCAGGCGGCTGTGTTTTCAAAATGGTTTTCCCGCTGCGGCGCATGGAAGGACGAACATTCCTAGGCGGCGACGCCGACCGGCGCCGCCCCGACGGCGGCGAGGATCTTGTCGTCGAGGTCGAAGGTCATGGCCTTCTCTCCCCGGCCGCTGCTGGCGTACTCGGCGAACCGCTCCTTGAGGTCCTCCGGCAGGTTGGTGGTGCTCGTCCATCCCAGCACCTCCTTGGCCGCCCGAGGCTCCGCGTAGAAATGCTGCAACCATCTTCGTCAGGCTCCAATCCATGACGGAGATTGCGAACGTAGCAATTATATGTCGATCGGTGTTCTTGTTACCATGTTGCGGAAGGGGAAGGCCTTCTTGGCGTCGACGCCGGCGGCGGCCGGGTCGTAGTTGACGATCTCGACGGTGGCGCCCGCGGCCGCCGCGCACATCTTGGCCAGGCCGTTGAGCGTCACGCCGCGGTCGCTCACGCAGTTGAAGATCTTCCCGGCGGCGGCGTCGGGGTTGTCGACGGCGAGCGTGAGCATGCTGCCCAGGTCCCTCGCGTGCGAGATGTTGGTCAGCTGCATCCCCGACCCCGGGATCGGCACCGGCCGCTTCCGCACGATTCCTGCCCATTTCATTTCATTTCAATCGACGAAGGAAATTAATTTGTGATCGAGGCAGGATGATTTTTACTTACTGTCGAAGAACCACTCCTCGCAGTCCTTGTTGTTGCCGGAGCCGGTCATGTACTGCGGCCGGAACGAGGCCCAGCTGCCGAACTCCGCCGCGATGTACTTCTCCACGCCGACGTGCCCGGCGCTCTCCTTCACGGCGTCCTGTGAATCAGGAATTCAGGATGACGGGCTGCGTGTGACCAATCAAAGAACATTGATCGGCCGGTGATGGAACAATTACCCCCTCCACGTGCGGCGGCTCGTCGGTTTGAAGGTAGATCCCGGCGCTGCTGATGAACAGGAACTGGCCGACCCCGGCCGACTTGGCCCAGTCGGCCACCGGCCTGCACGCAGCCAAAAATCACATTGGATTGCTGTCAAGTCTGAACTCTGAACTGAACGAGCCCTGTGGCAAGGCAAGAAACAGAGGCAGCTGTCAGTCGAGCATACTTGACGGCGTCGAGGTCCTTGCCGTTGTTCTCCAGCACGGCGTCGAAGGACGCTCCGCCGACGGCCGCGCCGACGTCCGCCGGGTCACCCCACACCGTCTTGGCCCCGGCGCTCGTCAGCTCCTGCACAGGATCCATCAGAAACAGGGTACAGAAAGCCTCCGATTGCAAACGACACAGTGATCCGGTCGGGTCACTGAATCACACACACCGAGAAGCGGGAGAACGGCGGCTTCTTCATCTTGTCGGAGCCCTCGTCGCCGACGGTGAGCACGGTGACGGCATGCCCCGCCGCGAGGAGCGCCTTGGCGAAGTAGAACCCGATGACCGCGTGGCCTCCGCTGTTGGTGTTGACGACCAGCACGTTCTTCTTCGCGGCTCCGGCGGCCTGCGCGCGCACGGGCGAGGCCGCCGCACGGGCCCCGCGTCCTCCCCTCCTCGCGACGATCGCGCCGGCCACCCGCGGGAGGAACGGCGACGACAGCGACGGCGGCGGCGAGCTCGAGACGCGGCCCGAGGTGAATGCGCCCGCCGCGCGCGCGGCTGTGGCGGTGGTGGCCGGGGAGAAGGCCATGGAGGAGGAGGGGATGAGAGGAGGGAGTGATGAGTGGCGGGCACGGGGTGCTGGGATAGGGGAGATTTTGTAGCTGCGACCTGTGAGGCCATGTGCGCTATGCTACGATTGAATTTGTCGGGTCGTTGATGGCCTAGAGCCATGGGCCTCTCCCTTGTGCTGGTCCACTCAGCTTCTCTATTTGTTCCTTAACTTGTGAAACGACGTACTTAGCGCATCTCTAACCCATTCCCCAAATTTAGTTTCTTTAATTTCTTTTTGCAAATGTGATCAAACAAATCACCGGAAGTACAAAGCATCTCAAACATAATAAAAATTGCATCGAGGACACACAGACACATAGGATTCTGAGCTCCCTCCCTCCCTCCCTCCCTCCCCACCGCACGCGCCGCGGGCCACTCCGGCCGCGGCGGCCACCCACCCGTCCTACCCCCTTTACTCCGGCTGCCGGCCTAGGGGCTATGCCGCCTCGCTCCCCTGCGAGTGCCCCGGCTTCGCCGGCTGCGAGCGTTGGATGGGAGACGCCCGAAAAGGAGGAGATCTAGGGCGGATCCAGCGGTCCGTCGGAGGTGCCGGCGACCCCTCTCACCCCGTCGCCGCGGTTTCCCCGGAGCCCAAGCTGTCTCCCGTCTGGATCCGGGGCGGGTCTCGAAGACGCTGGCTTCAGACCGGCGGTTGGAGGCGTGGCTCCCCCATCTGAGCGCCCCCGCCTAAAATCCATTGTGGTAAGTGCGAATCCCCCTCCCTCTCCGGTCACCGACGACATTGAAGCTGGATGGGAGATCCAGCAATCGCGCAAGAATTGCCGCGCCAGCCACGATCCATTTAGTGCTAGGCAGAAAGGAAGGAGCCGGCCACCTCGCCACGGTCGCTCCAACGGGCACTCGGCGGGCAGGGACGCCTTTTTAAGCAGATTCAAGGGCCTCTGCTTCCGTTGCCTCAGCCACCGCCACCGTAGAGTAGACTGTAGAGACCCTCTCAGGTGCATAATCTGCAAACGCCAGGGCCACTTCGGCCGCGAGTGCTCTGAGAATCCCCGCAACAAAGTGGCTGCTGCCCCTCCGCGCTCCCCGCGCCGGCCAGTCCGCGAGCGCCTGACCTTTCCACCTCCGCATGCAGCTCCGCGCCAAGCTATGGAGCCGGGCACCCTCATCAACCACGGCCGGCGCCCACGCAACAGCCACAAGGTCATCGCCTCGTCGCCGGCGATGGAGCATCAGCTCTTCCTGCTGAACCAGCACGCGGTCGTGGTCACCGCGGTGGGCACCAAGGCGCATGCGGCGAGCCCGCCCTCCCTTGGTCGAGCGATCGAGCGCGATCTCAAGATCCCCCCACACCTGCTCCGCATCACCAACCACGACCCTGAAGACTTCTTCGTCTACTTCACCATGCCGGCGCACAAGGACCTGGAGGTGCGGCGCGGCTCGCTGTCGGTGGACGGCGTGCCGTTCCTGCTCGAGCCATGGCGGGAGGACGCCCACGCCGTCCGGCTCAAGTGGATGATGCATGCTCGTGTCGTCATCGAGCGGCTCCCCATGCAGCTCCGGACGATCGAGGGCGCGATCGAGGCCATTGGCGACAAGGTCATCGTCGACCACCTCGAGAGCCGGACCCACGAGCGCGTCGACACCAAGTTGTTCGCTTGCTGGGTCTGGTGCTGGGATGTTGCCCACATCCCCACGAAGCGCACAATTTGGAAGCACGCCCGGGGCGCGGGACGCGTCGACGAGATGGTGGGCTACTCCCCGCCGAGCCGCGTCGTTGCGCCACCGCCAGAGCTGCTGCAGTACGATCTGCTCCTCCACCTAGACCGCGTGGAAGACTAGACCCCGCTCTCGCCGCGCTCCTCCAACTCGCCGCAGAGCGGTGTCCCCTCTGATGACGACGAGCCTGACGAGCGCCCCTTCCCAAGGATCGAGCCGGGCGTCTGGGCAGAGCGCGTGGAGGACGGCCGGTCGGCGCTTGCCCCGGCACCTACCCTGCGTCCCCAACCCCGTGTCGCTTTGACAGGGTGCAGGGGCATGCCGGCCACTGAGGGCCGGCGCGACGACGACGGGGGTGACCCCGGGTTCCAGAGGCGGAGCTGGAAGGACACACTCCTTGGCAGGGGGCGTGCCAGCGACCGCGGCTCGGCCCCTGCCCCAGCACCACCAACGGGCCGCTCGCGTAGCCGCACCCCCGCCTCGTGCCACCGTCAGGGCGCACCTCGGGGCCGACAACTGTGCATCGACAAGCAGGCCGCGGTCGAGCCCACCAAGAGGAAGGAGGCGGCAGCTGCACCCTCCCGCCAGCCCAAAGCCCAGGGAAAGAGCATGGCCCGGCGCATGCACGGTGGCTCGATGGTGGCGGAGTCGTCGGGCGGCCCCTCGCTACTTGCTCCACTACGCCCGCTCAGCCAGGACCATGCTGGGGAGCCGGTGGCGGTGGCAGACCCGGTCGAGGTGTTCTTCCAAGGCGCAAAAAAGAACCTATCTCCCCCTCCCCGCCCCGACGCCATGGCCTCGAAGATGGACAAGGAGATCGCCGCCAAGCTCGACAAGCCTCTCTACTTCGACGACATGGAAGACGGAGGCAGCGGCGGCTCTTTCGACATGGGTCTGGCCCTTTCCCTGGCCCGCCATACCCCGCTGGCTGCGGACACGCACGAGATGCATCTGGGCGTGGTCACGCAGAGGGTGACGGAGATGCAGCTCAGAGAGGATGGAGCTGACGACGAGCCCCGGCTGGCCCTCTTCTCCAAGCCAGCGTCGGCAATCGTTGGGAAGTCACCGGCAAGGAACAAGACGCCTGTCAGGGCTTGGCCTCACGCCACGCCGGTCAGGCAGAGTGCCCGCCAAGCTACAAACCCCTCCCCGGTGCCGGTCTCTCAGAGGGCAACGCTCCGGCTGGTGCAGGGCCTCGGCGTCCTTGGGCCAAAGGAGAAGATGACGGCACGGGATGCTGAGGTCCTCATCCGCTGTTTCGACGAGCCCTTGTCTGACGACGACATTGCGGCCATCGCGAAGCTCACCTGCCTCGACGCCCACGCACTCAAGGCGATCGCTGGCATGCCCAGCCAGCAAGAAGATGCCGCGGTGCCCCAGTCCCCATGTTAGAGGTCCGTAGCTTAGTGTTCGGCCGTCGACGACCAGCAGTTAGCTGGGTAGAGTTAGGGTTTATTTCCTGCATGATGCGCTGTCTCAGTAGCCAGGTTAGAGGATTAGATGTTCGCCGGCGGGGTTTTGGGCCTATTGGTGGCCGTCGGCGACCCCAAGTTGTACGGAAGGTGCTCCTGTGTTTTATGAATCCTGTAGTAGTTAGTCGTCGGCAATCTGATGTGCACCACCCTGGTCACCCCCACCGTAGCAAGAGCTTTTCTCGGTTACCCCATGGATGACACTAACATACCAATCATGAGCTGGAACGTGAGAGGACTAAACACGCCGGTGAGGCGCTCGGTCATCCGCGATGCTGCCCACACGCACAAAGTAGCAATCCTCTGCATACAGGAAACTAAAATCGACTGCTGGTCCACCAGCTTAGCTAGAGAAATAGGAGGCACCTGGCTCGACCAGTGCATAGTTCTCCCCGCCATTGGAACCAGGGGAGGGGCGGCCATCTTCTGGAACTCCAGCATGCTGACGATGCAATCTCACTCGATAAGAAAGTTCTCTATCACAACAAAAGTACAGACAGGAGGATTAGGCAAAGAATTCTGGCTGACCACGGTTTATGGGCCCTCTGATGAGGATAGGAAGGATGACTTCCTCGCGGAAATAGCTAGAGTCGCCCCGCCAATTGGCCAAGCGTGGCTCATTAACGGCGATTTCAACATTATATACGAGGCTAGAGATAAGAATAACACCAACATCAACCGCAGGCTCATGGGTAAATTTAGAGCAGCAATCGATGCTGGTGGCCTACGCGAGATCAAGTGCAAAAACCGTCGCTTCACCTGGAGCAATGAGCGTCGAAACCCCACCCTAGTTAGCATCGATAAATTCTTCTGCACCATCGCTTGGGAAGGGCTCTTCCCATCCTTCCTCCTGCATGCTGCATCAACTTCATGCTCAGACCAATGCCCTTTGCTCCTCGTGCCTGCAACAGCCCCTCGCCGTCCAGCAACATTTAGATTTGAGTCTTTCTGGCCCCGATTCCCGCGCTTCCAGGAAACGGTGCAATAGGCCTGGAACCGCCCAACAACAACGCGATGCGCTTTTGCGAGGCTACATGAGAAAATGAGAAGGGTAGCTATGGATCTCAAAATCTGGAGCAAATCTCAGTTTGGAGGGGCCAAGCTTCATATGCACATTGCAACAGAAGTAGTCCTACGCCTAGACGTTGCTCAAGAAACTAGAGCCCTCTCTGACGCAGAATTTCACCTTAGGAAAATGCTTAAACTCAAAATCTTAGGCCTTGCTGCAATTGACCGAGCACGGAAGCGCCAGGCATCTAGGATTACTTGGCTGCGTGTTGGAGACGCGCCAACCGCCTTCTTCCAAGCGAAGATAACTGCCAGGAGACGGAAAGCATTCATCCACATGCTCCACGGTCCGTCCGGTGTAGTCACCAGGCAGGAGGACAAGGAAACCTTGATCTACGACCACTTCTCCTCCTTGCTGGGCACGGCAGCACACCGCGGCACAACCATTGGCTGGCGCTCACTTGACATGCCCAGGCTGCAGGGTGGAGGTCTGGACAACCCGTTCACGGAGGATGAGGTGTGGCGTGCTATCAAGGCGTCACCGGCAGATCGAGCGCCGGGCCCGGACGGCTTCTCTGGCACCTTCTTCAGGGCATGCTGGGAACTATCATAGACGACATCATGGCTGCGTTCAATCAGTTTTACAATTTAGTAGGCAGCAATTTTGGAGCTCTCAACACTGTGATCGTCGCACTACTGCCAAAGAAAGACGGAGCGACAACAATCAACGACTACAGGCCGATTAGCCTTATCCACTCCATAGCAAAGCTCATCTCCAAAGTACTTTCCCTCAGGCTTGCTAGTGTGATCCATACGC